ATTTTGGTACTTATGATGAAAATCTTATTAAACTTAAAGTCGAACATAATAATGTGAATCAGATTGATATTGATCGAACAGTCGTCAGCTTAATGTATTGGCTAGAACAATATTAATTCATCCTGACTTGGTAAATTGTGGAAGGAAATTGGCTATTACGAAATTTGTGGTGATATCAATCAACTTGTAATGAAGGTGCATTCTATATGTAATTTCCTTTTAATACACCAAATAATTGGAAATATCCTGATGTAAACATTATTGTTGATCGTTGATCATTCTCGGATTTCAATTAACTCCTTACATTATAGAAGAAGTATTTCATTTATTTGAACTTGAACATAGGTTAGATGAAATCGGTGATCTTTTATGGATTCCGATATTGCAAGTTCAAGTCTTATTATGCAAAAGAAAAACTGATTAATTAGAATTCTAATTGAAATAATTGATGATCCCGAAGAAGCTTAAAAATTGCATTAGTTCAAAACAACAAAGGAAATTAGATCATTAACAGACAATCTATTCAAATCTTTATTATTGGATATTTAAAAATTATGGCCGAATTCTGAGATTACACAGAGATGCTTTGATGACATTATCGAATCAAGAATTTGGATAATTTAAGACTACAAGAAACTCCAGAAAGAGAAATTCCGGAGCACCTTACAACCCGCGCTTTTAATTTTATTTGCTTGATTTATCAAGAATTTTGTAATGAAAAGTTCAGTTTAAAGCATATTATTTAAATTATTTGCAATTAGTCAATGTTTAAAGTAAATTTACCCAATGAATTTGGCTCAATATTTAAGAAATTAAGTTAAATAAGAAAATATTTAATGAAAAAAATGTTGAAAGAAGTCGCTTGAAACAATGCATTATAAAATACTTCATAAGTAATTCAAGCATTTCAAGAGAACTTTGAATATGTTTGGAAATGCAACATTTTCTGAACTAAAATATTTGAGTGATAATATTAATAGAAATGATGAAGAAGTACTTCAAAATTTTATTGAACTTTTTTCAAAAAACAAGTTTGATAAATGTATTAAATATATAATATTTATTTATTTATTTATTTATTTTTTAAATTAAAAATATCTTGACGCGTTATTATGTTTTACTTTTTTATTTTATCTTTTTATTTTACTTTTTATTCTACTTTTTTTTTTTTACTTAAATGATTGGTTTAAAATGAAATATGAAGAATATGAAGTATATGCTATTGATACAAGCTAAAGTTCTCACCAAGGTTGATTACGGAAATGTTTAACGTATTTGTTGACAAGAAATTCAAACTTGATGATCACAGATGAAAAGCGATAATATAATGTTTCGTATTTGTCTCTATATAAAATCTCGAAACTCCATCATAACAATAATTAAAATATTTTAAACTATTATATTAGGTATTATTTTATTACTTGGTTCTTTAGCAAGTTGATGATTTTTTAACTTTACTGTATTTAGCTTTCGTAGTTTTAAATATACAAATGGTCATGTATTGGATGTTGAAATGATTAAATAAAAAAGATTAAATTTGCATATTATACTATACTGATAATAAACAGACAGTTTATGGTATTTTCAAAGATTGTTTTACGCCAAAATCGCGAAAAATGATTAAATGATGATCTACTTGTCAATGACACACACAAGCTGTTTTAAGTGCTTCCGAGAAAGTTACTAATCCTATCTGGAGTTACTTGATTTTATTAAAAAATGTGAGTGAGATTCTAAAACAAACAGAAGTGGTTCATAAATCATAAATATCTCGAACAAGATTAAGCTATTATAAATTACCCATATGACTTTTTAATTCAAAAACCGTAAAATTTTTTTAATCTGAAAAATTACTTCTTATTTAACATCACTTTCGTTTGTTTTACATGATGGATACACTTCGAGAGCGTTTTTCTTTATGAGAACCAATTCCAGAATGTTTATAATTAAAAGAAATGCTCCGGAGCATTTCTTGGAGAATCTTTCTCGTTGCATGCCTGATAGACAATATTAGACAATATGAGTTGATTGCTAGGAAAATCAGGTTCCGTGAATTTTTAACAAAGTTGAGGTTTTTATTGCATTTTAATTTTTGAAGTTATTGGATTAAAATGTATTAAACTCTTAATTTTAGTCAAAAATTTCTCGGAACATGATTTCCTAGAAATCTTCCCATATGCAAAGAGGCCAAACCGTGTTTCTGGTAAATTCCCTTAAAATAAATTTTGCAATCATTTTCTTACAAAATTCGTTTTTCATATCATCGTGTCAATTGTATATCCATTTGGTAAATAAATATAAATTTTTTTATTTTTATTTAAAAAAAACTTTTTTAACATATTAATAATAATTTATAGAGTTTACCGACTATTTTGAAATGAATATATATTTGTCATATCCTTTTCTAAAAAAAAAAAAAAAAAAATTTATTTATAGAAGTTTTTAATAATTCTTAACTAAATCTTTTCCGACTATAAATTTTTTCTCAGATATCAACCTAACTTTAATCAGAATGGATCGTTCTTTATCTGACAAATAAGGAATCACATTCTGTGCCCCCAGAATACCTCAATAAAAATGAGAAAACAGAGGTGTGATGCGCTGTATGGAATATAAAAATTTTACTATTGAAGATTTTTCATATTAAATAACTCTGGATTCTATTTCTTCGAAATAGCTGTCTCTTTCATAAATAGTTTGCTTTTTTTTAAAAAAAGAAAAAAAAAATTAATATTTCGAAAATAATAAAAGATACATTTCAACTGGAAAAATTTATTTAGGGTTTCAAGAAAAACGAGGTATTTTATCATTAAAATTTTATATGATTACCATAGAAATATTATTTGATATTTATGGTCAGTATAACGTTACATAAAATTTTGTGAAACATACCCCTTATTGAATTTTCTTACTAAATCACTTTTTTTTCCAAACAAAAAAAACTTTCTTCACAGGATAACAGGATGCAGTCTTTATATGACGAAATAAACATTAAAATATTTAAATATGTATCAACACCAAACAACCTTTTAGTTTCAAATCGTAAATGGCATAATATTTCTCATGACCCATATGCCAGAGCCAAATGGTTAATTTATAAATATGGTAGAGCGCATGCATTGTTTCACGCTGTGAGGCTAGGCAATAGTTTTATAACAGAAGAAGTGATCCAGGCTTTAGTTTCTAAAAATGCGATATTTTCTAGATATTTTGTTCAACGTTTATTAATGCATTTTGGTACTTATGATGAAAATCTTATTAAACTTAAAGTCGAACATAATAATGTGAATCAGATTGATATTGATCGACTTCAAAAAAAATCAATTTCGGCTTGGGGAAGTAATATTTCTTTACCAATTTTCACCAAATTATTTACTGTGGCGTATACTATTTTAAATGATAAAGAACTTGCAATTAAAGGGAATGACATGGAATTATTCCATATTTTATCAGCTGGTCCCCTTGTTATTAATCAAGCACCTGAAAAGCTTCGTCAAAATCTTCATCTCATTAAAGATTTAATTTTGAAAAAGAAATTTGTCCCATTTCCACCACGTAAAAAACCTAAATACGAAGATACAGTAGAATATATTCAATTAATGCAAGCCAGAGCTCACGAAGAATACCCTCCAAAAGATGCTTTCGAGAACAGTCGTCAGCTCAATGTATTGGCTAGGGCAATATTAATTCATCCTGACTTGGTAAATTTGTGGAAGGAAATTGGCTATTACGAAATTTGTAGCGATGTCAATGAACTTGTAATGCAAGGAGCCTTATTAATTTTTTTTCCTCCTACTCCACCAATTCATTGGGAATGTCCTGATGTGCAGACTATTGTTGCTCGTTTAGAAGAACTTATTAAACTTGGATTTCAACTAAATCCTCACGTTATAGAAGAAGCATTACATTTATTCGAACATAGGTTAAATGAAATAGGTGACCTCTTAATGTATTCATTTCAAGTAATTCGTAAAACATCAAAATCCGATCTCGCAAGTTCCTGTCTTATTCATGCAATCAATCCTAAAAGGGATCTCAAGAAAACTGGTTTATTGGAGTTTTTAATTGATAAAATTGATGAACCCGAAAATTCTTTTAAGGAGGCATTAGATTATCATAAAGTTGGATTCAAGTTCAATGCCAAAACTATTAAATTAACAAAAGAAATTAGATCTTTAGCGGTCAATTCAAATTTTTATTATTGGATACTTAAAAATTATGGTC